TGAAATATAGAACTGCATGCTAAGCATCCCTAGTAGATTTTGGTTTTGAAATGCCACTATCACTCTTATTTTCTACATTATAGGTCCCCTCAAGTTTGTGCTTATTTTCAAACTGAAATCTCCATCCAATAATCAGTGGTTTGGGACCCTTTCTTAGAAGAATATTCGTACATATTTATCACTATGAAAATAATCCTGCACGGGGTTGTACCCTTAACCCCTGCTTTGCTATTTCTACCATGTTGAGCTGTTAACCACAAGGGGTTGGTAGTAAAATAAAATTAGAAACAGGTCTTTATCTCCCAGCAGCAAAGTAATCCAGAGCACTTTCCTACGTTGCTGTGTCTCAGATGTACCTCTTTCTGTTTCCATCTTTCCTGCTGCTCTGTGTCCCTAACACTGTATCTCTTCACCACCACCACTCCCAAATGGGGATGGAACCGAGACCCTTGCGCATGGTTTTACTGAATTTCAGTTGATAAATAGCATTTACATTACAACTGTTCTTCAGACTTAAGTCATGGGGTACATAATGATTGCTTTTTTCATCACTCCATGACTCTGATTTCTTTGAGTCCATAATTATGCCTCTAACTCCCTTCATTGGCTATATTTCAAGGTAGTTATCATTAATGCAGCTCCGCAGTCTGCCCGCTGTTTAAGTTGGCTTTCAGCACATGCTTATTCTCATGATTATCCCAGCAGTTTTGCCTTTGTGAAGACATTGCCAGGGCCTCTGACCTGCTCCAGGCTACATGAGTGTCTGCTGGCCCTCCAGCATTCTCCCAGGGTTCCCTTTTCTCTCTGCGTGTGTCAGATCTGCCTTCTGATTCTTACTGATGGCTTCCTTTTCTTGATTATTACTCCAGGGTTGACGAGACTCATTTTCCAGTAGCTTCCTGAGAAAGCATGCATAAAGGCAAATATTTTGAGATACTCACCTCCAAACGTTTTTTATTTTACCCTTCATTTGATTAGTAGGTCACCTGGCTCTAAGAAATCTCAGCTGGAATGTAGTTTCCATTTGCACTTTGAAGGACTGCTTCCTTTCTTTTGGTTTCTCTGGTTGAATTTTGTGAGCATTCTGCTTCTGAATCCATTGTACGTGGCTTTAGCTCCCTGCTCTGGAAGCCTGTGTGATCCTCTTTCCCCAGAGTTCTGACATTTCCTGACTGATGAGTTCATCCTTGAATGGTTCTGATTTCATCCACTGTGCCAGGACTCCGGAGGATTTTGCAATCTGGAAAACACTCCTTCATTTTGGGAAGGATTCTTGAATTATTTAATTCATGATGTCCTTCCTTTTTCCAGTTTTTCTTTTTTTTCTTGCTGGAGCTCCTATTATTTAAATGGTGGATCTCTTGGACTGGTTCTTTAAATTACTATATATATTTTCTCTCTTACTTTTCCACTGATCAGTTTGTTTGTTTAACACCACGAGATTTTTTTTTTCCCCTAGTTTATCTTCTGTTGAGTTGTTCATTTTTGGTATGATGTAATTAATTTTTAAGAGCTCCTTTTTTATTTGCTAGGTGTTCTGTGGTTTCCTGTTTGTTCTCATCCTCTATTGCTGTGAGGCAAACCACCTCAGATGTAGCAACATTCAGCTTTGCCATTTCATTTTTTGCTCATACGTTCTGTGGTTAAGACTGACATCATCCAGTGGCTTCTCGCTGTTGTGCATGGTACCTGGGGTGGGTATGAAAGCTGGGTTCCCCTGGGACTGTTGACTAGGTTACCAGATCTGACCTCTACATGGCTTCCAGTGTCATGAAAGCTTGTTCTAAAAGGAGGTTCTAGGGAGCAAATTTTCCAGGGTAACCAAATGGAGGGTGTTTTATGTGACCTAGCTTGGCCATGACAGTTTTCTACCAAAATCTATTGGTCAACATAAAACTAAAAGGGGAGGAAATGCAACTATTTCTTGACCAGGGAATGTCACAGTCCTAATGCAGAAGAACATAGGGGATGAAAGTATGGTTCTGGCTATCTTTAGAACACATATTCTTCCTCATCTATGTTTTTTTAATAAAAATAGCATCTTACCTCCTTAAGTAATGACTGGTAGATTTTTTTTTTCCTTCAGTCTGTTTCCTTTAAACTTTGAAGTAATTGCCAAAGTAAGCAGCATATTTAAGTTATTTTTTTGCCTCTTGACTCATTTGCATTCTCTAATAAAGAAATTCCTTCCCTGTCTTGCAAAGTTCTGAGCACTCATAGGGACAGAAGAGCTGGAAATGGGGAAGTGGAGGACAGTATTCATTGTGCCTGGGACCTTCTGTTTGCGGAGTGGAATGCTGCTTTCCGTAATGCCTGGGATGGCCCTGCCTGGGGAACTCTGCAGAGACTAAGTCTTGGGTCTTTTCCAGGTTCAAAGTGGAGACCCAATTGCTTTGTAAATAGCTGCCAACCCTCCTTTCAGGGGTAACCATGTCACCAGTTCCTGAATCTTTTGAAGATTCTGTAGTGTAAATAGAACTTGTTCCCTCTTTCTTTCTTTCTATCTTTTTTTTTTTTTGGAATGGGGATTGAACATGGGCCTTGAGCTTGCAAGGCAGGTGACAGCACCACTGAGCTAAATCCCGGGCCCAAGATGAATTTCTAGGAGTCAAACTTGGGGAATTTAAGCATTACTGAGCTATTCTTTCTGCCCTCTCTTCTCTCTGCTTTCCTTCTGGGACTCCTGTTCCCATTCATTGATATGGCTCATGGTTCTCACAGGTCTCTGGGGCTCCTTATTTTCAGAATCCCTTTTCTTCCTCCAGTTGGATTGCCCCAGTTGGCCTACCCTCAGCTTCCCTGATTCTTCTGTCGGTTCACACCTGCTGCCAGTACCTCTCATGAATTTTTCAGCTCAGTTATTATGACTCTTTTCAGTCCTAGCTTTCTGCTTGTTCTTTTTTTTTTTTTATAAACTTTGTTCACTGAAATTCTCCATTTGGTTAGATACCACTGTCTGTATTTTGATTCTTTAGTTCTTTAAATATGTTTATAATAGTTTATTAAAAGTGTTTGTTAACTTTAATGCCTGGCCTTCTATGGATGGTTGTTAACTACTTTTTCCCCTGATATTGGGACAGAACTTTGTATTTCTTTCTATGACCTGTAAATTTTTTTTTTCTTTTTTTTGTACCAGGGATCAAGCACAGGACCTTGTGCTTCCAAGGCAGGTGGTAGAACCATTAATTTGGGAACCTTCTGCCTCCATCTCCTGAGTAACTTGGATTATAGACATGCAGCCCTGGGTCCAGCTATATTTGTTTCTTTTTTATTCTCATTGAGTTTATCGGTACTTTTTAAGTATACAGTACCGTTACATTCATCATTCAGCTCCTGTATGACAGATCTTGGTTCTCATTTTTTCCACACACTCCTGCCATCCCTTCACCCTTTTCACCCCTCCCTATTTACAAAGACTTTGTTTCCACCTTTTTCATTTTCTCATATTTTTTCTTTTCCCTTATTTCCTTTCCCCCACCCTTCCCACTTCCCCTACACTTTTAGCCCTTTTCTTCCTACTTCACATTGTTACCTATACAATTTGGATCTTATTTACACTTTTAGTTTTACATACTATTTGATATTTACACACGTGTGTCTTATTTATTTCACTTAAGAGTATGGCCTCAATATGGATCCATTTTCCTATGAATGACTCTAGTTTCTCATTATTTATGGCTGAGTAGTATTCCATTTTATAGAAAAACCACATCTTCTTTATCCAGTCTCCAATGGATGGGCAATTGAGCTGTTTCCAAGTTTTAGTTATTACAGACTATGCTGCTATGAACATGGGTGCACATATATCACTGTGGTATGATTCTTCTAATTCTTTTGGAAAGATAACCAGCAGAGGGATGGCTGGGTCAAATGGAACCTCTATTCCTAGTTTGAGGTATCTCCATACTGATTTGCGTAGTGGTTGCACCAATCTGCACTCCCATCAAAAATGGAGAAGGGTTCCTTTTTTCCCACAACCCTGCCAACATTTGTTATTGGTTGATTTCTTGAAAGCAGCCATTCTTTGTGGAGTGAGGTGGAATCTCAGTGTTGTTTTCATCTGCATCTCTCAAATGACCAGTGATGTGGAAATTTTTTCATATATTTATTTACTGCTTTTGCTTCTTTATCTAAGAAATGTCTGTTTATTTCAGATGCCCATTTGTGAATCAGGTCTTTATATTTGGGGGGCTTGATTTTTTTTTGAGTTCTTTATACATTCTAGATAATAGTCCTTTCAGCTATGCTTGTTTCTGAGGCCACAAGTCTCTGTTCTCTCAGCTTTAAGGTTTGCTAGTGACTGGACAGAGATTTCTGTAAATTCCTAGAACTAATAAAGGGAGGAGATTATTTAAGGGTGTGTTCTTGTTTGCTGTTTTGATACTTGAGGAGTAAGAATTCGTACATATTTTAGCAGAATTATTTGCTTTTTAATCGAGATTTGCAGTGAAGCAGTGAAGATGAGGGAAGTAGGATGAGTGGTTTTTTCCAGTTGCAGGATGGTAATTAATATGCACGGAAGAATTGGATAAGCTGGATTTCCAATCTTACCAGACCATGAAACTGTTCTGGGCACACATTTTGAAAAATGCTACTAGAGTTTCCTTTCAAAAAGCTTAACCTATGACTGGGGATATAGCTTAGAGGTAGAGCACATGCCTAGTATGCTAGAGGCCCTGGGTCCAATCCTTCACACAAGCAAGCAAACACATACACACACACACACACACACAGACACACGCACACACACACAGAGCTTACCTTAAATTTCATGGTTTTTCAGACCATTCGCAATCCACAAAGATAGCATCAGGAAGAGAAAAAAAAGCACAATTGTATAGAAGGAAATTTTAAAAGAGATAAATTGGCCGGCCATAATTTTGAGCAAAATAAATAAATAAATAAATAAATGTTTAGGATTAGCTCACCAGCCTGCTCTGGGTGTGTGGATACTACAAGTGCCTATGTGTTCTTATCCCATCACACATTTGTCTTTCCAGCTCAGAGTTTAAAAGCATCGTGGGATGTGTTACCATTGCTGGATGCCTGGGAGCTTTAAGAAACTTGGTAGTATGAGATGCATTCTGAACAGCTGCAGGATGTTACCTGTACCCAGAGGGCTAACTGAACCAGACTCTCCTTAATTCTCAATGGTAAAAAGTCTAAATACTTCCTTTACATTAGTCTCTACTAGTAATGGCCAATTATTTATTTTTAGTTATATTATTAATAGTGACAGTTTATTTTCTAATGAAATATTTAAAAGCATCAGAGTTAATTCTGGTATTAAAGTCTTGCCTCAAGTCTTTGAATATCTGGTACAGATAAAATGAGTGGTATTTGAACTTGTTTTAGAACAGCACCTATTAGCTAGAGGGATAATTGCCAAGTCACAAAAATTGAATTTTTATAAGCATTTTACATAATAAAAGTTGATTGGGTCTTGGAATTTAAATACAGACAAAAGGTCTTTGTCATAACATATTTATAAAAAAGTGGTGTTTTTTCCAAGGGCTTAATTCTTAGAATTTGTTATGACCAAAATGGGAAGGGCAAGGTTATATTTTTGGTTCCTAAAGCACCTGGGATGGAGCTAACCCTAAATGTGAGGTCTGCCCACGCAGCCCCACCTCCGGGCAGTTTCAGTTGAGCCCTTTTGCTGTGTGAAAACTCAGTTGCCCATTCTTCAAGGTTTCTTAGAAGTCACGATCATTTCTAAGTATGCCCCTGTCCACCATCTTACATGACCGCCAAGCAGGCTGGGTCTAATTCTTTACCTCTTCATGGCTGCTGCTGACACCAGTGGGTTCCTCCATAGCAGGAGGAACTTAGGTGGGTAACAGTTTTAAGATAAGGGGGCATTCTTGAGGTTGGAATAGTGTAAAAACCACCAGATATGGCCAGTTCAATAATTATGGCCTGACTCAGAATATGTTTTTGCACTTCAGTATACCTGAAAGGACAGTGTTTGCTATGTCTTAGGACATCTTCATACTGGGATTTGGTGGCTGTTTCTCCTGACCTCCAACTTATAGCTTTAGTACTAAAGTTTCCTGTAAAACCACCTGCCTCCTTTCCCCTGATTAATCTACTTTGTTGCTGTTTTTGACATCTGGCCTCATAGCAAAAAAGACAGGTTTTGAGCCTGATACGATAGTATGAAAGATTATATTTGCATAAATACCATTTCTTTTTCTTTCAGTGCCATTCTGCCTTTCCAGACACCTTTGCACATCTCATAAATGCAGTCTGGCAACTCTTCAGGCTGCGACAGAAGAAAGACTGTAGGGAAGAGCATTGGTGTTAGCAGTCTAGAAGATTCCCCTTAATGAGGAAGAGTTTCTGATTGTCATTTGAAATGCTGAGGAATTTGTTACGAAGGAGACTTTTTTCTTATCCCACTAAATACTACTTCATGGTTCTTGTTTTATCCCTAGTTACATTCACTGTCTTAAGAATTCGTCAGAAACTTGAATTTGTAAGCCTCAGACACTTGGAACTTGTTGGAGAAAATCCTAGCAGTAATATTAATTGCACCAAAATTATACAGGGTGATGCAGATGAAATCCAGAAAGCAAAGCTTGAAATGCTAACGGCAAAATTTAGAAAACGCCCTCGGTGGACACCATCTGACTATATCAATATGACAAGTGACTGTACCTCTTTCATCAAGATGCGCAAATACATTACGGAACCCTTTAGTAAAGAGGAGGAAGGCTTCCCAATTGCCTATTCCATAGTGGTTCATCACAAAATTGAAATGCTTGACAGGCTCCTAAGGGCCATTTATATGCCTCAGAATTTCTACTGTATCCATGTGGACAGAAAATCAGAGGACTCTTTTATAGCTGCAGTGAAGGGCATTGCGTCCTGTTTCGGGAATGTCTTTGTGGCCAGTCAGCTGGAGAGCGTGGTCTATGCATCATGGAGTCGGGTGCAGGCCGACCTCAACTGCATGAAGGACCTCTACAGTAGGGGCACAGACTGGAAGTACTTGATCAATCTTTGTGGCATGGATTTTCCCGTTAAAACTAACCTGGAAATTGTCAGGAAGCTCAAGTCGTTCATGGGCGAAAACAACCTGGAAACGGAGAAAATGCCATCTCATAAAGCAGAAAGGTGGAAAAAGCATTATGCAGTCGTCGATGGACGGGTGATGGACACGGGGAACCCCAAAGCACAGCCTCCTCTGAAAACACCTCTTTTCTCAGGCAGTGCGTATTTTGTAGTGAGTAGGGCATTCGTGGGCTATGTGCTAGAAAACGGAGACATGCAGAAGTTCATGGAGTGGGCGCACGACACGTACAGCCCGGATGAGTACCTCTGGGCCACCATCCAAAGGATCCCCGAGGCCCCAGGCTCTCTGCCCTTGAGCTACAAGTACGACCTTTCTGACTTGCAGTCTGTTGCCAGGTTTGTCAAGTGGCAATACTTTGAAGGTGATGTTAACAAGGGCGCACCCTATCCACCCTGCGACGGCGTCCACGTGCGCAGTGTGTGTGTGTTTGGAGCTGGTGATTTGGCCTGGATGTTGGGCAAACACCACTTTTTCGCCAATAAGTTTGATGTGGATGTCGACTTCTTTGCCATCCAGTGTCTGGATGAGCATCTGAGGCATAAAGCCCTGGAGATGTTAGAACACTGACCACTGCAGGCAGTCGGAGGAGTGAGAACACTGCGCAAATGGTACCCCTGACCGCCTCCTCGGCCCTGAGGGAAGCGTCAGAACTGAACGGGGTCCTCTCTGGAGGGGAGGACTCAAGGCTGCATGATTTCTACAGAGCACAATCAGCTAGAGAGGTGACAATGATAAATGTTCATCCATGGTCAGCTCGAGGGGGCTGTTAAGGTGACTGGGAGCCCAGGGGAGGTACCGAGGTATTATTGAGAGGGGGAACAGGGTGGCCGGAGAAGAGGACCATGTGGAAATCAGCCTCAGGGACGGTTACAAAGCTCAGGGATTTAACAGAGTGAGAAATTTTTACTCGTGCCAAAATTATTTTTAGAATTTAAAATACGACAGTTTTAATGATCTGAATAAATTTATAGCAACAAACCATCGAGGGTGCAATTTATCTTATATATTTGATTTTACTCTTAACGGTTCTTGTAAATACTTTCTGCTGTGTTATTGTTAGTGTGTCTGTGTATCACCTCAGGGAACTTAAAGTAATGTTATTTAATATGTATTCTATCTTTTGCTTAAACAATGCATATTTTTTTTTTCAAAAGCAAAAGAATCAACAGTTTCTAGCTTAGTTGATTTATATGATTTATCTTCGGGTATTAAAGATTCAATGGATCAGCTGGGTGCAGTGGTATGTGCCTGTGGTTCCAGCTACTCATGAGGCTGAGGCAGGAGGATTGTTTGAGCTCTGGAGACTGAGTTACATCCCCAGCTGCCTTTTAAAAACTTTTTATTTTGAGACAGGATCTTGTTAAATTGCCCGATCTGGGCTTAAATTTGCAGTCCTCCTACTTTGGTCTGAGACTACTGGGATTACATGAGCCACCACACGCAGCTCAAGTTACCTTTTTAATTTTTGTTTCTACGAAGAGTAACACTCAGCTTTTCCAAATATTTCTTTTTTATATCTCTACCCTTTATCTTCCAGACCTTGCTATCAAATTATGTAAAAATCTACTTCTTTAGGTCCCTCTATCACTGTCCTGGTTCTCTGATGTAATCCAATGGCCAGTAATTCATGCAGGGAATTTAGAAGGGGTGAGGCAGGTCTGGGATGGCTGCTTCTGAGGCTCATGATAAGTTTTTAAGACCAGCAGCTTTGTGTCCCCTAAATTAATACTTCCACTCAGTGGGGCATGGGTGTCCAACCACCGACGGATGCATCCTAATGCTTGGGACTGCCTGTTTGAAAGGTCCTGGCCCTCACCTTGGGTCTTCACATTGTCTGCCCACTGGTTGTTCCTTATCCTATGTGTTGTAAGTTTCCTTCTGTCAAGGGAATTTGTTTCAGATGAGTTCTTCCACTGCTGATATTATTCTTATTCTCTGCATTTTCATCCAAAGAGAGAAGATTTTGGGGTTCATATAATGCTGACTCCCCTCTCAAAGTAAAATTAAGGTTCCAAGAATTTCTCATTACTTTGCTAAGTTGATACTGTTCAGCTAAAGACCTAATGATGAAACCTTGGCACTTAGCATCAGACTTTAAACAGGAATCAAACCTGTGAAACTTTTTTAAAAAATACAGCCAACTTAAGCAGCCCATGAGAAATTCACATCAAACAGTATTAAGGCTTCAATTGAAAAAGTATTTTTATTTCTCAAAGTTAGAAACAATTTCCATTTGCTTGAGACATGTCTTTTAAAAATCTTTACTGTCATTTGTAAAGGTGGGGTAAGCTGTATTTTGTATGTGAGGAGGTAGCCAGTGGTGAACCCATCAGAAGTGTTTCAGCAAACTCCAAGTGAGGTTGGTGAGGTAGGTGCATTCCTGGGGCTCTGTCCACTGGCTTTTTTAAAAAATTGAGTTTATTGGTACAATCTAGGTATCCAATACAGTTACATTCATTACTGGGATCCTGTACCATTACATGATAGGTCTTGATTCTCATTTTTTCCCCTTGTCCCTGCCCTCCCTTCACTCCCTCATCCCCCCCATTTACAAACACTTTATTTCCATTTTTTCAATTTCTCATATTTTTTCCTCTCCCTTATTACCTTTCCCCCACCCTTCCCACTTTCCCTACACCTTTAGCCCTTTACTTCCTATTTCACATTATTAATTATCTCATTAGGATCCTGTGTACTATTATAGTTTTTCACACCAGAGAAACTATTTGGTATTTCAGTTAAAGAAATCTCTGTATGA